TCAGCTGATCGATGTTTCTCTCTCATCGATGTTTCTAACTCTCTATCTCTCTCCCTTTCTGTGAAAAATTGATAAAATATATTAAAAAAAAAGAATATAAAGAATAGATAAACCACCTAAGAATTCTAATTCAGTTGCTGCCTGCCTAACTTCCAGTAAAGTTCTTTCATGATAAATTAGGGGTCATTAAAAAGAAGAGTCATTTCTATGCCTTTTCTACCACTCACTCACTAAGTATGACATGCCTTCTGGCCATGCACTGTGACGGGGATGCAAAAGCAGAAAGAAATGCTCTTTCTTGCATTTGGGAAGACACTTTGCTTTAAATTATTGGAAATACTAGAGGCCTGTTGCATGGATTCGCACACCAGTGGGGTCCCTTCGCCTGGCCTGCACCCTCTCACAATCGGGGACCCCTCAGGGGATGTTGGACTGCTGGTTTCTGCCAGGCCAAGGGACCCCACTGGTGCAAGAATCTGTGCACCAGGCCGGTTTCGGCCTGATCCCCAAAGGCCAGGCTGAGGGACCCCACCGGTGCATGAATCTGTGCACTGGGCCTCTAGTATGCATATAAGATCTTTGGTTAATCTCTCCCCCCGCCACTTCCCTCTGAGATTCACCAGTCTGTTCCATGTTTCCATGCCTGTGTGTTGAGTGTCTGCCCCCTGGTGGTCAGTGCACATCATAGTTAATGGTTGGTCACTTAGGCTTTTATATATATAGAAAAGGGGAATGGGGTTGGGTTAGAGAAACCTTTGAATTTAGCATGTAATCTATCAAAGATGTCACAGGAGAGATGTTTTCACCAAACACTTGGCTACTAGTGATTGAACTCAATCTTCTCCAGCCCCTCTCCCCTTCCCCAGAAATTGGGTGTGGGCATGGGGGTGGGGACTAAAAGTTCCAACCCTCTAATCATGTGGTTCCCATGGCAACCGCTCCCAGCCATGGGTTACCTAGGAGCTTTCCTCATTAAAAGTCACCTCATTAATGTAATAAGACATCTTTATCTTTCGTATCATTTAGGAAATTCCAAAGGTTTTAGGAGGTTTGTGTCTGGAATGGAGACAAAAACCAAATATATATTTCCTGTGAGTGATGATATCACAGTACCAAACCAAAATTTTTTCACATAACAGGTTTATTTTAGCAGCTCAGTTTTATTACATTCTACATATTTAATATATTTCTATCTGTTCTGCATAGATGGCATATTTATTAACTTTTATAGTTGACTTTTTCATTTGCTATTGCTGCTACCTGGCCTGAAGAGTCAGGAGGATAAATAGAACTCGCTTGGTGGAAAGGTGGTGCAGCATTGAACTTCTCCGCAGAACTTTACTTTGATGTGGACTTCAGCTTTTCTTCCTCTTCTTTTTCAAATCCTGAACAGACGAGAGATCTTCCCTTGGGATAGCGAGCACAACACTTACGAAGTTCTTGGATGACAGCCTGACACTTAGATTCCATGTAGTTGTTGGCTGAAAAACAGACAGGCAGAATCTAGTCATGATCTCATAGGACTAAGGCACAGGGAGTTGGGGGGTTAGATCAATGCTTCCCACTCCTTTTTACTTTACTTTATGTACAGACCTGGAAGAAAGAGGATATATTAAAGTCCATGGAATTCTTCCTGATTTAGAGACCAGGAAGAAAAGTATGATTTACAGAGTGGTCAAAAGGTATTTTTCTATATAATTTTCTTTTCTTTTAAAAAATATATGTATTTTTACTGATTTCAGAAAGGGGGAAGGAGAGATAGAAACATCAATGATGAGAGAGTATCATTGATTGGCTGCCTCCTGCACACTCCCCACTGGGGATCAAGCCTGCAACCCGGACATGGTGCCCTGACCAGGATTCAAACTGTGAGCTTCTGGTTCATAGGTCGACCTCAAAGCTCAACCAACTGGGCTCATTTTCCTTAAGGTTGAGTTAATAGTTCATGTTCCTTGGTCACTAACTCCTTTACAATTTGGTGAATTAGAAAAATGCGCATATGAAAAATGCATTTTGCATACAGTTTAAGGTGGCTACTAGAAGCTTCCCTACCAAGTCTATGCATCAGAGGTTTGAAACTGCAGCCTCAGAGTCAACCCTTTTTTACAGTTGTGAGCTAATAATGGTTTTTACATTTTTAAAGGGTTGTAATTTGCCTCTCCTCCTTCCCTCTCTCTCTCCAACAAAGACCTCCTGGCCTCCAAAGCCTAAACTATTTCCTGTTTGGACCTTTATAGAAAACATTTGCAGACCCGGCTATACATAGATCCTAAGTCAAGGAGGACTTGACCTAACGGTTCTAAATCATCTTCAATTGACTTGAGTCCCTTGATACTAAATTGGGGTGCATGGGAGTTAGCCTGTGATAGGAAAGACAATTCTGACCACCCAGAGTATAGTAGAGTTGCTGAGTCCAGGCTTGTAGCCAGATCAGTGGGATTCAAACCCTCACTGTACCCTTTACTAGTTGTGTGACCCTGGGCAAATTATGTAACTTCTGTGTTGATTTCCACATCTGTAAAATGGAGGTCATGGTAACATCTACCTCATGGATGAAATGACCAAATGACTTAATATGGTTAAAGCCCTTTTGGCTATAACTGTCATCCAGGGAATGATTAATTCGAACTCTTAGTCCTTCCAGCCCTCAATCCTCCCATACTGTGGCAAGGGGTATAACTAGTTCTAACTTGATTCTTGTTCTCCCCAAGTCAGTAGTTCTCAACCTTCCTAATCTCTCAACCCTTTCATACAGTTCCTCATGTGGTGGTGACCCCCAACCATAAAATTATTTTCGTTGCTACTTCACAACTGTAATTTTGCTACTGTTATGAATTGTAATGTAAATATCTGATATGCAGGATGTATTTTCATTGTTACAAATTGAACATAATTAAAGCATAGTGATTAATCACAAAACAATATGTAATTATATATTCAATATGTGTTTTCCGATTGTCTTAGGCGACCCCTGTGAAAGGGTCGTTTGACCCCCAAAGGGGTCGCGACCCACAGGTTGAGAACCGCTGCCCTAAGTCATGGGTTGCTAGTTCAAATCAGTTAATTTATTTGGAAGAAATTAATTGTGAAAAAGATTTTTCATTTTTCTTAAATTTGGAGAAAGGGATGAATAAAATGGCATTGTTATAAACACTTAAGATTAAAAGATTTTACAGATAATATTGCTTACATCATAAAATGGAAAGTTCAAGAATGAATAGACATTAAAAAAAGAAAATATACAAACAAGGATTTTCTTTGATGTTGAGTCTTCGGGGGAACTCAACATTTTCCCTTCCTACCTTTCTCTATTTTCATGGGTATCCATCTCTATTATTGTACTTTAACAATGGGAAAATGATCAAAAAGTCAGTTTTCAAATTCACATCGTCTTGATGCTTTTTTTCATTTGTTCTGCCAATAATCATTTACTGATTTTTAAAAAAAAGAAACCCTTTGGCATTTGTTCAAACATATTGGCTGATTTAAAACCAAATGGACAAATCACACCACATAGAGTCTATGTCATAGACTTTAGTTGAAATTCACTTTTACCTTTAAAAGTTAGTTGCTAAGTTTGGCAGCCTGAATTCCAATTGTATTTTCAACACCCACCCCCCCATTCTAACCTGACTGCTTTTAAAAAGTGAGTTATTAGGCAGTTAAGTATAATCAACCTATTTTAAAACTAGTCTTTTTTTTTTTAAGGATTTTGCTCAGCTTAGTAATTTTCAACTCTGCCTGCACATTAAAATCACGTGGTCAGCTTCTTAGGTCCCTCTGCGCAGACCCCACTCACTGGAAGTCTGATTTCACTGTTCTAGGCAAGTTTTTAAAGCTTCCCATGTGATTTTACTATATACCCAAGATTGTAAACCACCAGCTTAGATCACATCACTTTTTATTTTCTATATCTTCAATTGTACAGTGAGAAAGATCTTCAGGCTAAATTAATTACAGAAATATTCTATTCTGAGAGGAGTTAATATAGTTTGCTGATAAAAAGAACAATTGGTCGCTTGTAGTTGGTTCACAGATAAAGTGGAAACTATGTAAAAAGCATTGAACATAGTACCTTGTAAACATTTCTGTATTTCACAGGCTTGTTTCTGGCACGGATCCTTCTGCAGCATATCCAGTAAACTAAAATAAGAAAAATGATTTTTATTTTGTCTTTTACTTATAAGGACTTTAAAGCCCCTCTAGAAGGAATTTTCTTCAGAGACAAGCAGTATGCCCTTCCAATGGTTGGAAGACTGTTACACTGAAAAATACTCTTCCCATTCATAGGGTGAATCAACTGTATTTTTTATAATAGCCATTTCATTTGATTTGAAATATATAAGTAGCTTTACATGGGAAAAAGACCCTTGAATTCAATAAATTCATCCTGAATATTGTAAACCAATGTTGGGCTAGAGGAGCAGACGCCGCAGCCTGAAGGACCCGCCCACTGCCCACTCTGTCATTGACAAAACTACCCTTGGCAAGGATCAAGCTCCTTGAGCCTTTCCCCTTATTATTAATGTGTAAACTGGGGATCATACCTACCTCAAAGCATTGGTGGAAGAATTAAAAGTATACGAAGTGCATAGAATAGTGCCTGGAAGGCAGTAAGGACTCGCTACGTGGTAGCTATTGTTCCTGAGATTTTTTAAAAAGCAAAACTAAGGGGTTTTTTTTGCATATAAACTGTTGTAACTATTTTAACTCAGGAAATTATCAGGCAGTAAATGGTTTCTTAGGGATCAGCAATATTTGGACCTGAGATAAATGCTAGTTTAGCAGCTAAAATTTGTTTTTGAACTCTTACAGAAAAGACTTATTTAAAATATCTGTAACCAGAGAATAATCTTAAGTGCCCACTATTTTGATTATTAGCAACATCTAAGAATTTAAAGACACAATTTCAGAAAGAAAAAGGGCCAGGAGCCTTTGTAGCTAATTTCATTAATGCAAATAACCTCTTTTTTTCCCTTAGAGCTCCCTAAATTCTTAGTAGATCCAAGTTAGGTCAGTACTGGGATGGGAAACACTGGAGCAAAACCCAAGATATTTACAGGATGGGAGAAGGAAAGGCAGGTGAATTGCTGCAGGGCAAAGAAACGACCAATAGATGTTGATGCTGCTAGGAGCTGCTCTCTTCTCTCTAAATCAGTACCAAGTCCTTGGTGATCAGAGCATCTGTTGTGTAGCAGGTGCTGACTTTTGTGGGATTCATCAGATCCCAGTTCCGGCTGATGATGTCCATTAAAGGTTCTATGGCAATTTCCAAAGAAGTCAATTTCAAGTTACGAATCCTGACTAAGGGCTTTTGTTGACTCGCTTTCTGCCTGTGTAACCCCCTCTCTGCAGTTCCACTTGTGGTGTTCTTCATGACCCTTCCTAAACTTCTGTGTTCTTGAGCAGTTTTTCAACCCACGCCCTCCCCCAGGCCCACAGGTGGGTGCACTGCAGTGGTGGATGAAGTGATTGCCATATACTGAACAGAACAGAGGAGCATTTCGTCCTAGAATCCCAGCACCTGGAAAAAAATAGATCATTAAAATCACCACAACCGGACAGAGTGAAAAAAAAGAGAGAGAGACAGTGGAGAAACAAAAATACGTACCGGGTTAATCATCAGGCAAAAGCTTAAGCAACAGCTCCTGTACTCCCCTGACCTGTCAGAAAAAGAAAAGTTTATAGAGTACTCTGTTACAAGAGTCCCAATACGATGGAAAATGATTAAGCAACATGTGTACCATTAAATGATGCTGGATCTGCCACAAGCGAGAGTTGTTATCCATGTAGCGCTGCTCAGGGTAGAGTTGCCACATGAGAGGTAGCTGGGATGTAAGAAGGTGACTTGGCCTAACTGCGTCACCTAAGGGAACCTGAACTTGCTGGATTCGTGCCCTTAGGAAACTCGTCCCCTGATGGAAAGAAATGATCAAAAATAAAACCAAAGACTTTCAGGACACTGTGACTAGTCAGAAACCAAGTTGATTGAAAGCAAAATCAAAAAAGAAATAAGCAAAACGTCAAGTTACCTGTTCCACGACGGCCACCCACGTGCGCTGGTATTCGTCTCGGTAGATACCCTCTTGGTGAACCCAGAGGCGATCGGGTGGAGCCCCCACATCCTCTCCTGCCATTCTGGGCTTTGAGTTCCAATTCTAGCCCTGCTTTTCTCCACCTAAGCCTGCAGCACCCGTGCACAGGACACAGGTGTGACTTTTGGGGTTTGAATGAACTCACCAGTGAGCCAGGTGACCTGGTACTAGCAACCACCAACCAGAACCAAACTTCATATATGTCTACGTGCACAGTCTAAATAGAACCAAGGCCATCTGAAGCTCCCTGCAAGACACTGAAGTGGCACTCAGGCAGAGCCCTGGGTTGACTACAAAGCACTCAAGAATTTAGTTAGGTAAGGAGTTCTGTGGAAATGTAGGACTAGCATTACAGGAAGCTGAGCAGTGGTCTCAAGTTTGCATTCACAAAGCAGTATCTGACGAAGTGTAGTTAGCAACGGAATATGCGTAGGAGTGTGCCTAAGGACACACTTATTTATTCCCCATGTAAAAGCAGTTTTCCTTTTTAAAGGTAAGACTGAGAAGGTGAATCATGTGCATGGCTTTCTAAATTGAAATTAAAAGTTTGTTTTCAGAGCAAACGACCTATTTATCAGTTTACTTAGAAAGGTATCGCAGCTGGGCATTTCCAGAAGGGGGTATGCGTATTAGGGAGAATATTTAAGGTAGCTTCATGGAATTTCTGAGCTGCAAGAGGCTTTGGGACCATGGCGATTTGGAGCTGAGTGAGAGAAAATGATAATTATCCACCTAGGTCCTTGTTTCATCTTAGTAATGCTTTTCTGGATGTCACAGGAGTGCATTTTTCCATACAAGTGTGGGTTTAAATTATGGTTTCCCGAGTCGGAAACCCAGAAAAGTCCCTCTGCCCTTTGAGAGGTATAAAGGAACCCCACCTCCTGGACCAACTCTTCACATGGGGCAAACTGGGCTCGAAACCCATACATCCTCTGCCCAGCCCTGGATCTCACTTCAGGGCCTCACAATAACTTCGCCTGCACTTTGCATTTTGTACCGCAGTTTTCACTGTGTTTCGACTTTTGGCAGAGCACAGGTACCACACTGGGGGATCTCCCCACAAAACACAGGCCTCCTATTCCAATCGGGTTGCCATTGGGTGGGAAAGGAACTCCAGCACAGCTTGGGAAGTTGTTAAACCCTCCAGTGAGACTGTCCAGAGCAAATGAGATGCCAGAACACAGAATGAAGCAGCCCAGGACAAAGTGAGCCAGAAAGGATTAATTGAGCTAAACCAAGCCCTTTGTTCAGAACAATAATCTGAGTCTGATTTTTTTCTAAACGCTGTTAGTTTACCTTCCCTTAAAAGGAAAGTAGAAAATATCTTTTGTAGATTTAAGAAAGGGTCTGATTTTAGTGAATAATTTAACATCATAGTTGCTTTGCCCAGTGTACTCCGACTCTGGGTCCATTGTCAGCTCCTGTCTTATAGGGCTCTTTCATTTCAAATTTCCTGTCTTACATGGTTCCCTCATTTCCAATTCACCTAAAGTGAAACCCCTTCTTAACCAAATTCTGATTTCTCTCAATGGCAACACCACCCCTCCTGTTCCTGCAGAAATTTACTAGTTGTCTTGAACCCCTTCATCTGCTTCAGTTGCTACATGCTATCTGTCACCAATTCTAGGAAGAGCCACTACCACTGTATTTGAGATAAACTTTCTCCCAAACACTGGCTAATTTTAGCTCTATATCCTTGATTTTGCTATCCACTTGCCTAAAATGCCTCCTCGGGCCTCTCTACCTCAGTGCTATTATGGCCGAGTGCAAGTGTCTGCCTTTTCCATGAAAACTTCTTGCCTCCCTATGACTACTATAGCTTTTAAGTCTAAACTCATATTTTAGCCTCTAATTATATATTTCTTTGCATATTTGCTCTGCTTATTTCACAAGTCCTGGCTCTCCCCAAATGCAGTACTTTAAGCTCTTCAGTAGCACGAATGATACAGTACTGGGCACCCCAAGTCTCAAATACTAGTCAAATAGATAATCATTGTTCTGCCTCTCCGCTCCCCCGGGGCTTTGGAAAGGAGTGATATAAACAAAAACCCAGTAAATGCTAATGTCAAAAGAAAATATATTAAAGTCTGGATTTCAAGTACAAAAGAAGTAAGTGTGGCCACTTTTTTTTTTTTTAAAGTAGAAACCAAGCGTTAATGGGTTTCAGTACCATCTCAACTTCACAGATAGGTCTCAGCAACAACCAACATTATTGACATTTAAATTTGTTTTGGAAAGCGAAATTTTACTGGTTACACTGACGTGAAAAGGAAGTAATTCCAGTGGGCAAACAAACTGGAGATGATGATCTGAGTTACTATGAATCACTACAAAGAAGCCTATGAGTCATTGCAAAATATGCTCGAAACGCAGCATGATGTGCTGTTGAGACCCAAAGGCCAATGTGCTGGGCATCAGCATACGACTCCGGACTTGCTTACGCTACTTACTACTCAGAGAGCATGAAGGCCCAGTAAAAGGCGACTGCAGTGATCAAGGGACTGAGAAGCCATCATGTGAACATTAACCAACATCCTCAGCAGAGAACCGCAAAAGCAAAGGCTGAGTGAGAGGGGTTAAGATCAAAGCCCACAAAATCACAGGTTGTATGAATGGGACACCATTTCTCTAAATGTGATTCTTGGAACACGTGCCCCTAACCTTTTCCTTGGTCAAATAAATTTGGGAATCTGATAGCGTCATAAAGCATGTTAACACATGTAGAAGCTCTGGCAAGTTACGTAGTATAGAAACTTTATTTAGTTTAACATTTCCCAAATTTATTTGACTAGAGAGCATTTTTCTGCACATAAGACTTGCTCACAAAATTCAGGACCCTTTGAACTAGGATAAATCTCTTAAAACCTCAAGATAAACTTAGGTAAAAGGTGCACTACAATACACAGAACATAAACGTATTTCACTCAACTCAAGGAATACTGCCAGCTGCAAATTCAAATACATTTAAAAAGTGTTTATATAGCTTTATCATCCAAGAAGGCACTAAAAGAGATTGTCCCCATGGGGGTCACCTTAATGCCACAATCGGAGACCACACTGGCCTAGAGAGACTATTTATTAGTAAGGGGTTCTGTAAATTAATTATGTTTTAAATGGATGATATAAAATATAGAAGGCTTCCTTAGGTAGTAATCTAAGTAAAACCATTATTTTTCCTTTACAGAATAGATTATTTTGTGTCTTAAAAAAAAGGAGTTTGCTTTAATTTCCAGGTGTTTTAACAGTTTTTAAACATTAATCAGTTAAATACACTTATTTCATTTGAGATCAATTAATGAACTCATCCAATTATAATAGATGAGGATACCAAGAACATATATACCTGGAATCAGACTGGCCTGTGTATAAATCCTGGTTTTGCCACTTACTAGCTGTCTGACCTCAGTTAAATTTTCTACACTTGTTTTCTGATTTGTAAAATGAGAATTAAAGAACATATTGATTAGAATAGTCAGCAATTATTTAGCACTTCCTATGTGTTTCATATACATTGACACTTTTAATTTTCATAATCACCTGATTAGATTAATACTATTTCCCCCCCCCACTTAAAGATGAGGGAAGTAGCCCTGGTCTGGTGGGCAGCAGGTTCGATTCCTGGTCAGGGCACATACCCAGGTTGTGGGTTCGGTCCCAGGTTGGGGCGCACACAGGAGGCAACCAAATGATGTTTTTCTCTCTCTCAAATCAATAAAAACATATCCTCAGGTGAGGGTTATTAAAAAAAAAAAAAAAGGTAAGAGAAGGCACAGAGAAGTTAGGTAACTTGCTTGAGGCCACACTGCTAGGAAGTTGCAGAGCCAGATTCCAAATTGGGGCAGTTTACACAAAGTCTGTAAGTGCTTAGTAGATCGTCTAGCACAGTGGTTCTCAACCTGTGGGTCGCGACCCCTTTGGTGGTCCAACAACCCTTTCACAGGGTCGCCTAAGACCATCCTGCATATCAGATATTTACATTACGATTCATAACAGTAGCAACATGACAGTTATGAAGTAGCAACGAAAATAATTTTATGGTTGGGTCACAACATGAGGAACTGTATTTAAAGGACCAGAAGGTTGAGAACTGCTGGGCTAGCACATATTAAGCTTGCCATACATGTTATTAAACGTTTAGGGCTATAAAATGAAGCCATGAGCATTATAAAAGTCAGAGAATGCCATTCTAGATTATGAGATTAACATCAACAAAGGGTTTTTTTTTTCTTTTTGAAGGTGCCTAAAGACAATTTATAAACTCAAAATATCCCATCACTGAACATAATCACAGCCGCTCTCGCCCCATCAGGGCAGAGCATACTAGCCACGAACAGTAATTGAAAATATGTGGTGCAAAATCGAAACTTAAGCGACAATTTACGTGGGTCCAATGTAATTGCACGCTTGAAATTTCTCCCGAGCTTCATCATTATCAAAATGAATCACGGAAAGTTGTGCCATGTGATCCTGAAGCATTAGGTAAAAATGGAGGTTGCTGGCATACATACCACAGATAGTTCTACTGGATGAGGGCCCTATCTGTGGAAAGACGTGGGTTGGAACTGACTAGGGAGAAAAGAGCAAAGCATCAACACCTCTTCAGGTAGCACCTTGGGAATGTTCCCTTTCCAGTACTGCCATGTCTACCTGGCTTCCAAACTCCACAGCGAATAGATAGAAAGCGAGATCAAACAAACAGAAACACCGATGGGCTGTGGAGGTGGCTCGGCATAGATTTTTCTTTGATTTTTGAATCGTTCCCCACATCCCCTGTAATTCCTAACCTTGGGAGTTGAAAGATCGCTACTTTCAACCCATGGCACATTTGGCATACGGCGAAAGAAAATTACTTTTATATAATTTCACCATGTCTGAGAGCGTCCAGACAAGGGAACCGAGGAAACTCGTAGAGTGGATAACTACTGTGATACACCCGACCTTGAATAAAACCTGAAGTCCCCCATTCCCCTTCCCTAGAACAAATAGTTAACATTCTTTGCAGAGAGTAGCAGCAGCCAAGTTTGAGAGTGATACTTTTTCAGATACAGTATAGCACTGTTTCTGCAAGAGGTTACTCACATGAATATAATGTTTCTTGGGCTAATTAATCCGCCTCGGGATCAGCGAGGCTAAAACTTCCAGGTCCCCCACCTCGGGTCAGTCAAGCGGGGATCAGGACGTGAGCCAGGGGCGAGCAGAGGGGCATCTGGGGCCGAGGTCACCCGAACCGAAGTTTCCAGGCAAGGGCCGGCAAGCGGAAGTGGTCCAGGGAAGAGTGGGACAAAATTCAGGGGCCGCAACTTGGAAACAAAACGAAATAAAACCTTAACTATCTTAGGACGGAATTTCCCAAAGAGCGTCCCACTGGCTCGAGAGGCTGACCCGCGCGGCGGAGCTGCCTCAGGGTTGTCCCTGGAGCGTGTAGGCCGCGTCAGCGGGCGGGCAAAATGGGCGCCGGCGCTCCCGA